CCCCCCCCCCCCCCCCCCCCCTTCCTTGTTAGAAAGCAGGCCATGTACTGTATGTCCTCCCTCTGAATGTAAAAAATGATGACGAGGCTTTTCCGCTTCTCCTTTCAAGTATACGAGTGGTTTGGTGATGAGAATTCCTTTCAATATAGACGTCAGAGTATCGATGCAATGATGAACACGTTAAGATAAAAAAAAAGTGAAGTAAAAAAACAAAGTGAAGAAGGGTGACGCTCTAGCAATCTTCTTCCCACCCGCCGGTCAACTCTCCTTCTTAGCCTCCTGCATCCTCCTGGCCTCCCACTTCTCCCATCCAGCCTGACACATGTCCTCCTCGACGATGAGATCGCGCACCCTGGCCATCCTGAAGACGGGCAGATCCACGGCCCAGGCCAGCCAGCCGGACCTGCGCGCGACGGCGGTGACGACGAACCAGGCCACGGCGCAGGCCACGCCCGTCAGGCCGCCGGCCACGACCTGTCTCGTGGTGTGGTAGTTGAGGTATACCCTGCTCCAGGCCACCAGACCGGCCAGCTGTCCCGAAGCGAGGGTGAGGATCGCCTTGTCCGCCGTGGACCAAGGTCTATGGTGTGCCTGACGGGGATGCTTCCGAGGAGGAGGAGGAGCAGCAGCAGTTGCCGTGGCAGCGGTCGAGGAGGAAGTGGAAGTGGATGCGGCAGAGGTCGAGGATGTGGTAGGTGAACGATGTCTGAAGAACAGGAAAAGAGCGACCGAGGCGCTCCAGAAGGCGACGAACTGAGCATGGGAGGATGGCATGCCGTACCCCTTACCGTGTATGCGGGCCGGCCTCTCCTCCTTTATGAGGCGCTTCAGGACGAAGTTGAGGGCCTCGCAGGCCAGCTGCCCCAGAAAGGTCAGGGCGATCTCGACCTCGCGCGTGGACATGATCAGGGTGACGTAGACTACGCACAGGGCCTGGGGGAGGAGGGCGAGGTAGGCGCATGCCAGAGAGAGGCGATCGTCTGGGTCCTGTCAACAAAAAGGGGGGGAGGGGGTCACGTCAGCTGGGAAGATGGAGACAGATGGAGAGAGATGGGGAGAGATGGGGAGAGATGGGGAGAGATGGGGAGAGGGTGGAGGGTAGAGGAGGTAGAGGAGGATGAATGATCCATCATGTACGCACATAGTAGACGTGGGTGATGGAGAGGGAGGCCAGTGGTCCCAGCTCTCCTCCTTCCATGTTTGGCTGGCGGTCTGTGAGATTTTGTTTTTGTTCTCGTATTGGTGTGTGCGCGCGCGCGTGTGTGTGTGGATGCTATGATGGAGAGGGGGAAGGGGAAGGGGGTTGGGCTGTATCGGTTGCGATGCATCGCATGAGAGGGTGTTGAAGTGGGAAGGGAGAAGTCGAGTCGTGGGGTATCAGACAAGAGGAGAAGTGGGAAGTGGTTGACGGGTTGCGTCAGTGGAGGGGTCTAGATCTAGAGCTACGTAACCAAAATAACCAAAATGAAGATGTACAGGGTACGACGGATATTTTGGGATATCTCGGTACAATAAGTGAGGTTGTATTTTATGACGGCGTGATTGGTGGAAGAGGGGAGGGGAGAGGAGGAGGAAATCACAGCGTCATTGCATCACAGTAAGAGGACCGAGTAGACCAGCACTGTTATATATATGTATATTATATTATATATATATATATATATATATACATATATACATATATGTATATTAGTTACATATATATTACTGTACAGATTATATACGTCAAGAGTATGACTTTGTATAGAATAGAATAATTGACTTCGTATACAGTAAAGTAATCTCAATTTCACCATACTTTGCGCGTGAACCTGTCGGATCAAGCAGCTCGCTCTGCTATCTGCATAAAATTATGTTGTTGTTGTTATTGTTTTTTTTTCTCTCTTTTCTTTTCTCTGCCCTCCTTTGGAACGCGGCTATAACGCGTTGAACACCAATGGTGAGCAATAATAGCTTGTTATTAGTTCCTCAGCTGCATAATTTCTTTTTTAATGATTTTTAATTTTCTGTAATGATTTTTTTTTTTTGCCCCCTAATTTCTTTATTTTTTTTAAAAAAAAAAATTTGGGGGGTTATTATGACCGACCCAGTACCATCACTACAAGAGAAAAAAGAAAGAAAAGAAAACTCTCTTTCCAAAAAAAAAAAGGAAATAAAAAAGTAAGAAATTTACTAATTGTCGCAAAACTCTTGCGATCCCCCTCGTCATTTTTTGGGATTTTTTTCATCCATTGTGCGTCATTCATCTTGTTTGCGCCCCGGGCATAATTTCCTCTTTTTTTTTTTCCATCTTACATCTTCTCTCTTTTTCTTTTTTTTTTCCCACCTCCTTCCTTACCAACCTCTTCTCTCTCTCTCTCCCCCTCTCCACTTTCAACTCTTTCTATCCTCATCACGCTATTTTCTTCTTGCTCGAAATATTAGTGGGTGGATCATTGTTTTTTTTGGGATTTTTTTTTATCTCTTTTCTTTACTCTTCAAGAAGAAGAAACGAAGAAAAAAAACATATAAAAAAATAGCAAACCCCCCTCCTCCACCACCCCCCCCC